CTGTACTTTGTTCAGTTACGTATTGCTAATAAGTTTTTCTTAAAATCAAATGAAATAATCAAAGAAAGGTTCCACCGATTGAATCATCCTGATTCAGAGTCAGGTATAACCATTACACCATGAGACCTCGCTTTCCCATGCCGAATCAGACGGGCCGCCTGGGTGAAAGCCAGGAATCCTAACCACTAGACCACATGGAGTTGCAAGGTTTGATTTCTAATATTTTATCTCTTTAATAGTTTTCTAAAATCAAATAGAAATAATCGAAAGAAAGTTCCACCGAGATTTGAACTCGGATGCTGGATTCAGAGTCAGTGCTAACCATTAACATGGAACCTCCTTTCCCGCGCGGAATCGGACCGCCTGGGTGAAAGCCAGAATCTAACCACTAGACCACATGGAGTTGCAAGGTTTGATTTCTAAATATTTTATCTCTTTAATAAGTTTTCTTAAAATCATAGAAATAATCGAAAGAAAGGTTCACAGGATTTGAACTCGGATCGCTGGATTCAGAGTCCAGAGGCTAACCTATACACCATGGAACCTCGCTTTCCCAGCCGGAATCAGCGGCCGCCTGGGAAAGCAGGAATCCTAACCACTAAACCACATGGAGTTAAAAGGTTTGATTTCTAAATATTTTATCTCTTTAATAAGTTTTCTTAAAATCAAATAGAAATAATCGAAAGAAAGGTTCCACCGAGATTTGAACTCGGATCGCTATTCAGAGTCAGGTGCTAACCACATGGAACCGCACCATTCCTGGAATCAGACCCGGGCCGCTGGTGAAAGCCAGAATCTAACCACTAGACCATGGGAGTTGCAAGGTTTGATTTCTAAATATTTATCTCTTTAATATGTTTCTTTCAAATAGAATAATCAAGAAAGAAGGTTCCACCGAGATTTGAACTCGGATCGCTGGATTCAGAGTGCTAACCATTACACCATGGAACCTCGCTTTCCCATGCGAATCGAACCGGCCGCCTGGGTGAAAGCCAGAATCCTAACCTAGACCACATGGGAGTTGCAAAGGTTTGATTCTAAATATTTTATCTCTTTAATAAGTTTTCTTAAAATCAAATAGAAATAATCGAAAGAAAGGTTCCACCGAATTGAACTCGGACTGGATTCAGGATCAATGCTAACCTTTACACCATGGAACCTCGCTTTCCCATGCCGGGAATCAGACCCGGCCGCCTGGGTGAAAGCCAGGAATCTAACCACTAGACCACATGGGAGTTGCAAGGTTTGATTTCTAAATTTTTATCTCTTTAAAAGTTTTCTAAATCAAATGAAATAATCGAAAGAAAGGTTCCACGAGATTTGAACTCGGATCGCTGGATTCAGAGTCCAGGTGCTACCATTCACCATGGCCCTCGCCCATGCCGGGAATCAGACCCGGGCCGCCTGGGTGAAAGCCAGGAATCCTAACCACTAGACCACATGGGAGTTGCAAAGGTTTGATTTCTTTATTTTATCTCTTTATAAGTTTTCTTAATCAAATAGAAATAATCGAAAGAAAGGTTCCTGAGATTTAGACTCGGATCGCTAGTTCAGAGTCAGGTGCTACCATTCACCATGGAACCTCGCTTTCCCATCCGGGGAATCAGACCGGGCCGCCTGGGTGAAAGCCAGGAGTCCTAACCACTAGACCACATGGGAGTTGCAAAGGTTTGATTTCTAAATATTGTATCTCTTTAATAAGTTTTTCTTAAATTAAATTGAAATAATCGAAAAGAAAGGTTCCACCGAGATTTGAACTCGGATCGCTGGATTCAGAGTCCAGAGTGCTAACCATTACGCCATGGAACCTCGCTTTCCCATGCCGGGAAAAGAACCCGGGACGCCTGGGTGAAAGCCAGGAATCCTAACCACTAGACCACATTGGAGTTGCAAATGCTTGAGTGCTAAATATTTTATCTCTTTAATCAGAGTTTCTCCGTTTGTTCAAAAACGAAATGAAATAATCGAAAAGGAATGTTTTACCGAGATTTGAACTCGGATCGCAGAATTCAGGTTGGTAACATTTACATCATCAAATCTCACTTCCCCATGCCGTGAATCGCACCGGTGCGGCCAGATAAAACAAAAGGAATCCTAACAACTATGCAATATGGGAGTTGCACCAACTTGAATACTAAATATTTTTTCTCCTTAACCACTGCTTCCTAAAACTCCGATGAAAAAAGGTTCCACCGACATTTGAACTCGGATTGCTTGACTCAGAGTGCTAACTATTACACAATGGAGCCTCGCTGTCAAATTTCGACAATCGAACCGGGGCCGCTTGGTTGAAATTCAGGAATCCTAACCACTAGATCACATGGGGGTTGCAAAGGTTTGATTTCTAAATATTTTATCTCTTTAATAAGTTGTTCTTAAAATCAAATAGAAATAATCGAAAAGAAAGGTTCCACCGAGATTTGAACTCGGATCGCCGGATTCAGAGTGCTAACCATTAGCACCATGAAACCTCGCTTTCCCATGCCGGGAATCGAACCCGGGCCGCCTGGGTGAAAGCCAGGTATCCTAACCACTAGACCACATGGGAGTTGCAAAGGCTTAAGTGCTAAATAGTTTATCTCTTTAATACATTGTTCTTAAAATCAAATAGAAATAATCGAAAAGAAAGGCTCCACCGATATTTGAACTCGGATTGCTGGATTCAGAGCCCAGAGTGCTAACCTGGTTAGGATTCTGGCTTTCACCATACGGCGGGTTCGATTCCGGCATGGGAAAGCGAGTTCCATGGTGTAAT